TGGAGAGGATACTCCTCGATACAGAGCATGTTACCATCGTCTCTGGAGACTGCAGGATGCCTATGTCTACTGTATATGCTTCATTGTGAATATGTGCTATATTTTAATTCTTTTGTGTTCAATATAATTCCACTTCTGAATAGCTCTGTGCGAGTGTGACACACCCAGTCCTATCTAATGTACTATTGTCATTGTTCAAAGATCCCTTATGGGCATGTCTTCAAACATATTTAAGTTCATGCATATGCTCTGAGAGCATACATGGTAACAAAAAAGTTAATTGCAATTTATAAAGATGTGTTTACTGCTCTCTGTTCTTAGACTGCATCACCTGGGTCTAAGAGTGAATCCATTGGTGAGAAGAAAATAAATGGAAACACCTTCCAGCCCTATCCATTTTTCTTTTCTTTTCTTTTTGAAAACATAAACTTTCTTTTTCTTTGGAGGAACACATTCTCTGCCTCCTTTTTCAAGGAGAGATCTCATACTCATTTCTCAGAGGGTTGAGAGGGTAGAAGAAAGTTCTACTTGCCCTTGGTGTCAGCCTGGTTAGTTACAGCTCTGCTGTGAAATCAGAATCAGAAACTCTGCTATCTCACTAAATGTTCCTCCAATGCCTTTTTGATTCTGATTACAATGTTTTTATTTTCCAGGCTTTAAGATTGTTTTAAGTTTTATGATTTCTTATATTTGGAGGATGCTTTTCTTGAGTTACTTATGTTAACACATTACTTTTTATGACTTTTTGATATGTTATTATAAGCTGCCATATGAATATATTTGAAGAGCAGATTATAAATTTAAATCAATAAATGAAGTAAGAGCACTGTAATCAATTCACAAAAGCTGTCAGTGTGATAACAAAGTCTTCCTAGATTTGCTAGTCTGATTTGACACCTGCAGTGAGAGAGAAAATTCGATTTAGATTTGTTATCAGTTTCTTGTTGAGCAACTGCACAGTGGAATCTTCCTTCTAGAGCCCTATCAGGGTGTGAGGGGGAGATCGTGACTTGGAAACTTTATATGATAAAAGCAGGAGTTTAGTAACCTATAATATTATATTGAGAATCACAACAGAGCTTTTAGTTTTATTGTATCATAATTTCCATCTGTGCATCTGTGAACTCAAAACCAGAAGCATGAACTAGGCCATTGCTTTCGCATTAGAAATACCAGCTGAAATCCTGTTCCTTTTTTCAGTAGATGGAAGGGCCAATGGTGGAATATTCACTTGCTGGCAATTAAAGAATCTCTGCTGGGATTCTCGTGTGTGCCAAGCTACTGGGTATGCCACCACTGAGAAGTGCAGATGAAACTCTTTAACTGCTGGCTGAAAGTGAGTGCCATCCACCTGCATAAAAGTGAAAGAGGATTTCAGCAACTATTTTAGATGAACATGCTATTTATAGATGAACATGTTTATTTTCATCTATAAATAACACAAATGTAAATTAAACACAAAATATGAATGTCTTCCATTTTTGATGTTAATTTATTATGGAGGCAACATACTTGGTTATTTCAAAAATGAAGGCGATCTGTCTAATCCATTAAGAGGAACTGCATACTCGTATAGACAGCATGAATAGACTAATCACATTTTAGAGTTTCTCATTTTTAATGGAATAATGAAATATAACAATAGAATAAGGTCATATTTTGTTGTTACATGCTGTCAATGTCAGAACTAACTTGTAGCAACTCAAGTATGTTTCCATGGCTGAGTGGGAATTCAAACTCTGTTCTCCAGAGTCCTTGTCCATCAGTCTATCCACTACAACACACTGGGAACCTTAAAGCAGCATTTAGTAGGATATGAATCTTACAAAGTGAGCAACCAATGTCCTGAAATGAAGCAGAATTTGTTCAACAAACATTTTTCTGGCATTCCAGATAATTACAATCAATTAGTAATATACATTTCCAGTGTCTTTAGGAAAGATGCACTGAAATACCCACCAGCTGCACAATTTTAACATTAGAAAAATAACATTAAAATTATATTTAAATTTTAGTTAACTCATTTTTAAATATTTATTTAAAAGTTACAATATGCTAACCTGTTCAATTGCTCTTGTTATGTGCTGCCAAGTTGGAACTGACTTACAGTTATCCTAATAGGGCTTTCAAGATAAGTGGGATGTTTAAGGAGTGACTCGACCAGTTCTATACATTCAGTGAGTTTCCATGGCTGAACAGGGATTCCAACCCAGAAGCTAGTGTCATACTATGAGAGTTGGGTAGGCTGTGAAAATGTCAGCAAAGGGTTAATGGTTATAAATCAAGCAAAGAAATTGGCTTGCTAAAGGAACATCCATGCAGGTGTGCCATATCCTCTAATTAATTAGATTTATACCCCGTCCATCTAGACTAGGTCTACTCTGGGTGCCGTTACAAAATTTGAAAATAATTTAACAAATAAATATGTAAAAATCAAAGATGTAAAAATGTAAATATTAAGATGCAGCAGGAGGGAAAGCCTGCCTGAATAACCATGTCTTAAGTTTATTTCTAAAGACACCCAGAGAGGGAGCCAGGTGGATCTCTACAGGCAAGTTGTTCCAGAGGGGAGGGGCCACTGCCGAGAAGGCCCAGTTCCTTGTTGTTTCCTTTCAGGCCTCCCTCAGCCTTAGGCCCCTCAGTCGCCCACCCTGGCTAGAACGAGTGTCTCTGACAAAACTGGGTGGGAGAAGGCACTCTGCAAGATATCAAGGTCCCAGATATCAACGCGGAAACGAATGGGCAACCAATGCAAGGCGGCCAGTGTGGGGAAAATATGTTGGTGCCTCTTCACCCCAATTAGAAGTCTGGCCGCGGCATTTTGTACCATCTAAAATTTCCATGTCATCTCAAAGGAAGCCCCACGTAGAGCACATTACAGTAGTCTAATCCTGAGACTACGAGCGCATGGACCAAAGTGGTGAGTGCCCCCACATCAAGATAGGGACGCAGCTGGGCAATCTGCTGAAGGTGGAAGTGCCCAGCTGCACATGTACTTGCAGAATGCTTTTTGTTGCTTCTAGCATCTCTTGCTAGAAGCTCATTCCCAGCTTTGCCTTCCTAATGCCATTCCAGCAATTCTTTGCTACCTTGCCATACTCTTCGTTTGTGGCCTGACGTTCCTTCCACTTCCTATATGTGTCCTTTTTTTGTTTTCAGGTCCTCATAGAGCTTTTTGTGAAGCTACATTGGTCTCTTTTTTGCTATTATCCACCTCTTTTTTTCTGTTGGAATTGTTTGTAGTTGTGCCTTTAGAATTTCCTTTTAAAGACACTTTTCTTATTAGGATTCCCTGTCATGGGACCTTATTTATCATTGTTCTGAATTACTTAAATATGATTTTCCTAAAATCCAAGTACACATTTTTTGGAGATGGGTAACTACACTCCACTTTTGTTGAACTCTAGAACTCAAGTAGAGTATGGTCACTTTCCCCCAGAATTCCCCTTACTGCCATTTCATCCACCAAGTTATACCTAATGGTTAGTATCAAGTCAAGAATAGCTAATCCTCTAGTTTCACCTTCCATTTTGGAGGAGAAAATTATCAACAACGCAAGCCAGGAATTTCTTGGAAGTTTGGCATATTTTGTTACAACTGCATCACATCTCTTTGAAATTCTTGCAATTTGTTTTTCAAAGGTTACATCCACATCTCCTTGATGATACAATATGGTGTAACTATATTACAACATTTCAGGAAAGATTCCCCGTTTCACTGTCAAAGGAAGGTGTAGGAAGTTGCAACAATTTTAGTAGCAGCCAATTCAGCAGCAAGCAGCAGATGTAGCGTGGAAACGACCAAAGCAGGTTCAAGGACCTCATACAGCTCATGGGTTGCTTGCCATTCATTCCACTGTGACAGCCTTAGCAGCCCATACTATCTCTAGTGCAGGGCAGGTATTAGGAAATGTGGACAAGTCGTAAGATTCAACATGATATATATTGAGTGGAGACTTCCACTGTTGCAACCATAAGAAAATCTACCTGAAGTCTCCAGTCCCATCTAGTGAGAGTTCAAAAATCCACTTAGCAAAAGCCATTCTGAATTCCTTCCATATTTCTAGACACTTATCTTAAAAAATTTCCTTCTGACTTCCAAAAGGAACACCTTTCGTGGCTGGAATTCTATGTCATACAACAGCCAAGGAATGTTTGTGCTGATTGTTAGCAGCTGATAATGCCTTGTGTTTCTCCCAAAAGTGACCGATCAGCAGCAAAAACTTCACCAACACATACTCAGTCTTCCAGAACAAACTCCAGAATTAATGATCTCCCATTTCAGCTTGATCAATTCAGGCCCATTGAAGAGCATAAAAGGGAAATTAGTCAACAGTCCCATCAGAAGATGACTTGCTGCCTCTTTGTTCCTCTGAAGCCCTTTCATACAATTATTATGTGGAAGAAGCTTTGGTAATTAATACTGAGTATTAATTGATCTGATTAATGATTCTATCTTTTGGAAAGTAACATGCATGATAGTTTTTACTGTTCTAGAATTTTAGATTTCCCCAGAAGCAAATAAGACCATCAGCATCAAATCAACTTTGGACAGATATATAAAAGCAAATATTTTTACTGAGTTAGGATGTAAATCCTTACTACCTTGTTGCAGGTGAGAAAGAAAAAATTCAATAGTTTTCTCCTCACTGCACATGATTATGAGATTTTTTGGGGGGGGATTTCAGCTCCGTTTGGGAGGATTTAGCATTTTGTGCAAGAAACTTGCATTTGTGACTATTAATGCAAAACTAATCTGCAGAAGATTAGTTTTAATGCAAAGTACTTTTTTTTACAAAAAGTGTTTGTTAATGCTGCTGCACGTTAAAAAAAGCTTGCATTTTCACTCTTGTGTATGAGTGAAAAAAGTGTCTATTGTTTTGGTGGTGTATTGCAAGATGTCCTTACATGCCAAATCCTGAAACATATATTTTACTTTTGTTGCAGCTGTCATGAAAGAATATTTGTTAAAACATCTCAAAAAAAAACTTTTTTTCTTACTTGAAATTCCATTATTGATCTCTCCTAGTCCAGTGGTTATACCAACATCTATGGAACTCATTATTTTATCAATCTGCAAGAAAATGATAGAAAAATGTTAAATTCTGCAATTGTGCATTATTTTATAGTTAGATTGAGTAAAAATGTGTCTATTATTTAAAGGTCGATACCATTTGGAACAATGCATTTTAAAAACTGACTATCAAGCTATTTTTTTAAGCTCCATTCACTTAGAAATAATCTAAGATGTTCATCATTGCAACTGCAACCATATGGAAGGGATTTCCCTTGAATGTAATAGGCACCTAATTCAGACCTATAGCACATACTAAAAAGAAAAGAAAATCTGCGGAGCAATGACAGTGGTTCCTAACATTTTTGGTGCCACATCTCAATTTAATTTTTGAAAAACCCTCATGCTTCCCTACTTCTTTTTGATAATCAAACACTTTTTTAAACAACAAGAATAAGTAATTTAAAATGAAAGTTCAACAATAAAATTAGCAAAAATGATACTGAATTAAAAATAATCATAAATATCTCTGTGGTTGGATTTTACTCAATGAAATCTATTTATGTAAGGGAATATAGTAAATTTCTAGCCGGAATGTGGATTGTTTCCAACTTGTGCATCCTAATCTTAGAGTAAACATCTTCTAATGCTGCACCTTTTGTCTTGTCCTATGCCATACCTTGGCCACATTTCAGTCAATGATTGCAGTATTGCTATCTGTTGCACATATGATAGAATTTATGAGTGTTATTGTAAGGTCACGCTAGTACTGGGGTGTGATTTTATGCTGCCTTGTTCAGACGTCACCTGCAGCTTACTCCCAGGATAAGCATGAGTGGCACTGCAGCTGTGCAGTGTCAACTCAGACACCATTTATTCAAAAGCTGGGCTTCGTCAAGCTTTCTCTCAGGTAAATCTGTACTGGATCAACGTGTTACATCTCAAATTAGAAACTCTTTGTACAAGGCAACTGCTCCATCAGTATTTTCAAGATGTGGAGGCTGTTAAGAGCAGGTGATATGCTGCCTTCACCAATGTGCAAAAAACAAAGCTGATTTTCATGACTGTTATGGGAGACATCTGAAACAGTCCCAAAAAATCATTGCAGGAAAGTAAAGTAAAAGAAGTTTATTTTTATGTCAAGAAGACAAAGAAAGAGCTCTGAAGAAGCCCTTCACCTCATGGTGAGCCACCATGAATGTGTGGAGGATGAGTGTGACAAGTACCTATTTTGCCAGAAGAGGGCAGTTAGACCCCAGAGACACAAGTGAAAACCTCATAGTTTTGCAGGTACCTCTTGGAATGTCATCGTAACTCTCAGGGTAGCATACTTGTGAGTTTGGGAACCAATACTATTTTATAGTATGAACAAAATATTTTATAACTAGAGATATACTTCATATAACATGTGTCCGTATTCTAGCAGCTCTCTTTCCTTTCTAGTCTTACAAAGTAATTGGCAATCATGAATTAGTTTTGCTCCATCTTCAGGCTCTGTGCCTCGTATTAGTCATGGGCCCATACATTTTTTTTTGTTTCTCTTTATCATAGGCTGATTAGAAGATATAATATCAAAGGGCCCTGTGGTATCTTAAAGGCTAACAAATTTTATGTGGTATAGGCTTTTGTGGACTGCAGCCCACTTCTTTAGTTACATGTAGCACAGCCTAAGCAGACAAGCATTCATACTATTTAAATCTCAGTCTATTGAGGCTGTTCTTATACCTGAAAATACCGGCTGCACAAAAGCTTTCACCAAATAAAAACGTTTACTTCCTAAGGTGGCAAAAGTGTTCTGTTCTCCCCGCCCCTGAAAACAGGCTAACATGGCTCTGGAAATATCTGCATTGGCAGATACAATTAGCTTTTGCAGAAATGATGAAAATATTATTTGCATTCAGTTCTATTGTTCTGGTTGCTGTTTTTATTACTCTTCCTTCTGGAGATATTATCTAGAGTTTGGAAACTGCAGCATTAAAGACCATTAGAAAGCTTTCATCTGAAAGCCATTGTGTGCCCCAGATTATATCTAGATGATTAAATACTCTGTGGAGATGACAGCATCTAGTAAGCCTATGGCACTGGAACAAAAATAAATCTGTACTGGATATTTAAATCTATGTGGTATATTACAGTATGTTCCTGATAATATTTCATTAGCTATTGCGGACTTTTATTTTCCTCAGATTCCAAGCACATTTTTAGACATGTGCTAAGATTTGTACATATGCATACTTCTGACATTTTCCTAGTAGCAGCTCACCACACTGCATCACAAATTAGTTCTACAATTCCTGAATGTACAAACTGCTTTTAAAATGAATGAGTTTCTAAAACTTTCTCAAGTTTCAATGGTGGTTCACCAGGTGATGTTCAAGGCTGCTGACTGAAATGTGTGTGTGTGTGTGTTTGTTCATGCACACAGATGTCCACATTTCATAAAATGTTCCAATGAGTACAGTAGACATGAGGAGCTCATTTATATTTGGTTAGACTAACTTATTCACCTAATCTAGTATCTTTAACAATGGCGAGAATGTTCTTACCCAGGAGATCTTTCTTAGTTCTTGTTACCTGAGTTCCTTTGAAAGATGGAGATAAAATGTATTCCATTTTCAGAAATTTTCTAAGGAGGTAGCTATGTTACTCTGTTTCAGCAAAAACAGCAAAACATTTTGTGGCCTCTTAAAGATCTTTAGTTTTTATTTGGAATATTTTTATTTGGCATATTGCACAGACTTTAGCCCACTTCTTCAATGGCATGCAGTCTGAATGCAATTACATCTGAGGCACTGAGCTACAGTTCATAAAAGCTTAACACATTGGTTAACCTTTAAGGTTTCTTGTTGGAAATAATATACAATGCTCTGGATTTTGATTCCAAGTTCCTGTTCCTTGCATAGACTTTGCTTTCATATATGCACCTCTGTAATAAAAGATAATTTGACCACACTCCAGGAGGCAGTGGAAGACAGGAGGGCCTGGTGTGCTCTGGTCCATATGATCATGAAGAGTCAGACATGACTAATGACTAAACAACAACAAAAATAAAAGATCCAAAACTTACTTCTTCCCATTCAGAAGTAAATGATGGTGTTCTTTCAGAATTTGCTCTAGAACTACCAGGATCTGCTGTAGATTCACTCCAGTTTCTTCTTCCCTTTTGCTCAGTTGGTGGGTAGGAAATGAGATTAGAGTCCGATTTTGAAACGTATTTGGATAAATGCATATCAAGGAGAGTCTTTGGCAAAGACCGTATTCTCCCAAGTGTGCAAGCACGTTCTACAAACCCTGCAGCGTTAGCAACCCACTGGTCTCCAGTTCTTGTAATGCCAGCTAGTGTGTTAGTTTCTCCTACATTGCCTTTAGATAAAAATACAGTTCTGTTTAAAATTGGTGGCTTTTTCTTTTTAACTGGAGAATCAGTATTGTTTTCTTGCTGTAGCGGGGTTGCCTGCAAAAAACTCCTGTTCACACCAGTTTCATGGGATAATTCATCAGCAGGACTTGCTTTTCTATACAGCTGAAATGGATTTTCAGGTGGGTCACAAGCAGGTGATGATCCATGAAGTAGACCAGCAAACTGCTCAGAAGGATGTGCCTCAAGATGCTCACTTTCAATAGATGTTTGTTGTGTTTCTGTAAGATACAACATTTCTTTCAGTTAATTATTTTAATCCAATAATCTCTAAAAAGGAAATAAGCACCTGATGTACAGAAGAATATCTTTAATATGTTCCAAAGTCAAAGATCTCACACCACTTGCCAGTAATTTAGGGGGTGTTTTACTCTGACCTTCCCCCCAAAAATATCACAATGGAGATGACACAGCAGTCAGTCTTGTAGCACCTGAAAGATGAAAATGTTTACTGAGGCAGAAATCCTTTGTAATCTAAAACCCTATTTATGAGACATAGATTGGCAAACACACACAGACAGGGAGAGAGAGAGAGTGCGCAAACAGTGTACAGCACAGGCAAATGCCCTATATTTTTCTCCATATCTTTCGTCCTTACTTTTATATACCTTGCAGCTAAAGCTAACATTTTACATCTAATGAAATGGGGAAAAGTTGGTGAAGGCTCATACCCCTCTCTTGATCCTGCTATTCACAGAGGTACATTTTATGAAGATGTGAAATTGAGTCTTATTGGTGACTACTTCCAGACTGTGGATCTCCATTCTACTGGAGGGTAGTCTGATTTCTTTATTGTGAAGTGTTCTCTATTACTGGAGCTTTCTGCAACTGATTGGCAGCTAAGGACAGGGCATATAATAGGCTCTTTATTTCTTCATTACTTTTAAAGAATTGATATGCCTTTTACATTGTTTCTCATTCAACTGTGTTATATAATTATTGCAGAATAGATTTGCTTGTTTTTAAAGTGTCATACTTTTGTGTTTTCTGGAAAATATATGCTTAAGTTCCCCCCTGGAATTTGCCCCCCAAAGCCAAGGAAACCAAGAGTTGATTACAGTACTTGCTCAAAGCCAACCGGTGTCCATGCCGAGATAAGGATTAGGACTCTTATCATGGTACTTTAGGCAGTGTACATTTCTGACTTCTCAGAATATTGTCAGGTATTTTCTCTGTCTGTGACTTATCTAGCTTTCCCCACCTCAAGCACAGTCTGAGAACATCACCCCAAATTAAGGAACACTAGTATAGAATCAAATGAAACTCAGTGGAATGGTTTCAGAAGCAGAGTTTGGTAATATCTTATTACTTTGGAATTGTATTTTCTAGAATAAATATGTACAATTAAAACTTAATCTTAAAAGCAATTCTGAAATTACTTATCCATACTTGGTAGAACTACAAATGAAAAGCTATCTTTGCTGTAGGGTTTGTTTATTTGCTTTTCCAATTACTTGTTAAAGTAACAGTACAAACAACCTATAAAAATGTTTTCATTGTAAATACTGTATTTGGCTTATACACCTGATGCATTTAGAATCAGCTGTCTCTTGCCTCTAATCCAGCATAAAGTAGAAATATGTCTATGCCTTGAATTTGAAGGAAGCCTCTTTTAAGACAGTTTTCACCCATTTGGGAGTTCATACTAACATGTTTCAGCTCTTGCTGCTGCCCAGATTAACCTGTTTATAATGAAATTCTAAAATGAAAAACTGAAGTAGATTTCTTCACTAAAGCACTTCCAATATTATCACTGTTCTTAGGTCAATCTGCTGACCCTTTCAGAATTTTTACTAGTGAAAAGGGTTATGGCACATTTAAGTTACATTCTGAGATACATTTTGTTGTCAGCTAGAAGCCTTTTTATTTTTGCTAGTACTTCACATCCCTGAATTGCTATTATGTAGGTCTCAAACAAGCAAACAAAATAGCTTACAAGCCCAAGAAGTTGCATATCAAAGCTAATCTACATGTTGCAATAGTACCACTCCCCAATACAAACATACACTATTTCTATTTTGCATTAAGTCTTCCAGAGTGTATGCACTGCATCATATTAAAACAACTACATCTGAATATGATCCAAACATGACAGAATTAGATACAGTTGAATAATATACTAAAAATAATAAAACTGCCACTTTTCTTACACTTACCCTTGATAATAACTGAATTGTTCACACCTATACAGTGAAGTTGTATATTCTAGAATATGAATCAATCCATTAGATGAGTAATGTTTGTAGAAAAATGCCTTAACATGTAGTGAATCAATTATATCTACCACATTATATCAGTAATAAGCCCTGCGGTTGCCATAGCAAGCAATGCTAGTGTGGAATAAAATCTGCTTGAAATGTGTGCCATAGCTATGGTAACAAGAACATTATGACACCTGTGCTACAAATCTATTTAAATTCTCTCTGTCTTTGATCCAGGAAAATTTGTTAGTGTTGTGTATCTGGAAAACCTGCCTATAAATGTAGCATCAGCAATAATGGTCACATCATTCCTGCAGTGAATAGATGTCAATAATGAAAAGAAGAGCAGAACATTGAGCATATCTCCGATGCCTCATATTTACAATAGGGACACACTTCTAAAAACATTTAAGAACTCCTTCCTTAACTGTTCACTACTGTACAGCAAATACTCTCCTGGTTAAAGAAGTATTTACAGGATGAATTCTTTTTATTTTTATTATTATT